CCCGGATCCGGATCCGGATCCGGCCCCGGGGCGCTGATTCCCTGCCCCCAGCAGCGGGGGTCCCCGTCGAGCCTGCCGACCCCCAGGGACAGGGCACGGCGGGAGCCGGGAGGGGCTGGCTGGGGGGCTGGGACCCCTCCACCGGCCTTCCATCTCGTCGCCCTGTCCCAGCGGGCAGGGAGCGGAGGGGACCAGGGTGGTCCCCGCTCTGCCCCCCCTGCCTCTCGCCAGGGTCTGGCGGCCGTGGATGTGTGTGTGTCCCCCCCAGGGCTGTAGCTCGGGTCGGGCCCCACAGTGGGGCTGGAGTGCGCAGGCTGCTGGGGCGGGGGGGAGCAGAGCTGGGGCCGGGAGGGTGCAGCGAGGGGCATCCAGCCTGTTTTGCGTCTCTTCCTGGGCCAGGAAGATTCCTGGCGTCCAACCCGGGAATGCGGAGACTGTAGCGAATAATGGAAAATAAAGAGGATGGAGGAGGGAGGAAAAGCAGAACAGAACGTTTCAGGAATGCTGTAAAAGTTTGGATCCATCGAATAGGGCAAGATCCAGGGGAGAAACAGGCCCTGGTCCAAAGCCTTCCGAGCTTGGGGTGCCGAGAGCTGGACTCGGAGGGACCCCTGGCCCCAGAGCAGGGAGGTGCCCATGGCGAAGGGCAGCCCCGGCACCGTGGGGCTGGTGCCAGCCTGGCCCCGTGGCCGCTCGGGCAGCCCTGGCTCGGGGCAGGGCGCGGGGGCGGTGGGCGGCCGGTTCTTGCCTTCAACTTTTGCACATAATCTGTCTCTGCAGAGAGCCGTCCCAGCTGCCCCAAATTCCAGGGGGTTCCTCACTGGTTTGGAGAGGGAAGGGGAGGTTTCACCCCTTGGGCTGGAGCCCGGGGCAGGGCGTAGGGCCGTGATGTGGATGCTGGTCCCGACACGGGCTCCGTGCTCCCCCCATCAGGGCCCTGCGTCCCCACAGCCCCCACACTCGTGTGCCGGGGGTGTCTCGTGGGGGCCTGCCAGGTCCATCGCCGCCCTTGTCACAGCTCCACCTCCGAGTTGTGCAACTGCTTTCGGTCTGTCCTTCCTGAGAAAAAAAGTTTCCCGGTGTCCAGGGCCGAGGCGAGAGCCTGGGCACGGGGCTGGGGAAAGGGCAGACCCCACTCGCAGCCCCGGCAGGTTGGCAGAGGAGGTTTCCCTCAGGAAACCCGCTGTCCCCAGCCCCTCTCCCCATGAGGGAACGGCTCCCGCCGTGCGGGGATTGTGGGGTGCAGCTGGTGTTTGGGACAGCCGGGGAGGGAGTGCGGTTGTCCCCTCGCCCCCCCCCAGTTGTCCCTGTGCCAGGTGCTGCTGCTCTCAGACCCCGCACAGCCGGACAGGGAGCAGCAGCAGAGAGAGCAGGGACAGCAAAGGGACTCGCAGACACTCTGACTCCTTTGGGTTTGTAATTATTTAATTCCCGTTCGGGGCGTGGCATCGGGCTGCCAGGCGTGACACACGGGAGGCCGTGAGCGGCGGGTGTGCGCCTGCGCGTGCAAAACAGTCACAGCGTCGCCACAAACAGCACAAAAATAACCGCTACAAAAGCGACACCTTCCCTGCTTTGTTTTTCTGGCCTGGATTTCACGCACTGCGGGGATCCCGGGGTGCAGGGAGGACAGGCGGCTCTGAGCAGCTTTCGGTTAATCGCCGTCTTCAAGGAGGCGGCAGGCGGAGGCGGGGGGGTCCTTTCGCCCCGGCAGAGCTCATGCGATTTCCTGCAAAGCCCAGCTCTTGCACAGGCGTGTGCTGTCCCCGCCGGTGGGGGACTCGTGCGAGGGCACACGTGCTGGCACGTGTGGCCAGGGACGTACTGTGTGTGGGGCGCAGCAGCCTGTGCCCACCCTGTGTGTAAAACCATCTTTGGAAAAAGCCCTTAATGGGAGCATGGGGAAGATCTCCCACCCACGCCGCCCCCAGCCCTGGGCCATCTGCAGAGCCCAGCCTGCATCCCCAGGGGAGCAGACGATGCAGCAGTGGGGGGAGAGGAGGGATGGGGCGAAACCTGGGGAGGGGGGTCGGTGCCCCCCACCCCAGCGTGCTGGGTAGCACCATGGAGTGCGTGTTGTCTTCCAAAATGGGCACCCCGAGCTGGGCTGGGGCTGCCGGGCACGGGGCTGCCCTCCCTGGGCCTCGGTTCGCCTCCTGTGGTGGTTGGTGCCGTATGAAGCCAGGGATGGCTTCAGCCTGTGTCAGCAGGTCTATGGCCCCCAAGATGCTGGGTGTCCCCTGAGCACGCAGCCGTGGTGAGGCCAGGGTGGGACCTGGCTTCTGGCACTCGCTCCTTGCTAATGGCTTTTCCCGCTGTCCTGGGGACACGGCGCTGCCCGCTCCTCCCTGTCCCCCCCCTCACCCTGAGCCACCCCGCATGGGCTGGGACTGCCAGTGGCTCTGCGGCTGCTCCTCTCCCTCCCTCCTGCCCGCTGGGAAGGGACTGTCTGCGTCTCGTTTTAATTGCGCTTTCAAAGCCCCCGGGCCCAGCCGTGCATGTGGGGACGGACCCGGAGAGAGGCAGGTGCAGGGGCATCCTGCTGGCCCCCCGCTCATCCGCCATCCCAGCTCCATGCGCTCAGCCAGGGCAGGAGCTCCTGGGAGCTGCAAAAATGGATGTGCACTTAACTACCTGCATAAATTAAGTCCAAGATCTCTCCCCCTCCGCTGCCTCGACCCCGGCATCTACCAGCTGCAGGAACAGCCACGGGCAGGGGCCAGAGCCAGACCCCACTCCGGGCTGGGGCGTACAGACCCCCCACCCGGCTTTCCTCCCTCCTGCTCGCCCAGGGCAGCAGCACGGATGGCCCTGGGTGCCAGGGAGCGGGGACCGGAGCCCGGACCAGTGTCTCCATGCTGGTGTCTCGTCCAGAGCGGCTGCCTGCGCAGCTGCCCCCTCGCAGGCTCTCCTGTCCCATGCTCTGGGAAGCAAGTGGCAATGATCCATCGCCTGATGATACCTCCGTGCCTCCCACCCTAATTACTGTCACAGCTAAGCACTTCGTTAGCATCATCTGGCAAGCAGCCAGCCAGCTCCCTGCGGCACTGGAGCATCCCCCATCACAGCTGGGCCCCGGGCAGCCGCCCTCAGCTCCGCTCTGCGACTCCCGGCTGCTGAACCTGCACCTGATGCTTTGCGGCGTGGGGGCTCTTGCCGGGCCCTGTGGGGCTGCGCTGCCGGTCGGGCTGGTCCAGGGCACTCATGCTGCCACGACGTGGGAAGGTGGGTGCATGAGCACGTGGCTGGGGGGCGGGGGGGGGCAAGGCACCCCCGCCTCGCAGCACCCCGGGGCCCGGCTGCACCCAGGAGAGACGTGTTGGGGCCAGTGAGGTGGCCGCCGCCGGCAGCATCCCCGGGCACGGCCACGGCAGTTTGCGTTGTGGAGGCAGGTGCCGGGCCCGGGAGCATGAACCCCAGCTGGAGCGGAGCCTGTTGCAATGTGTGCATCTGTGCGTGTCCGTGTGCGCACGTGCGTCTGTGTGCGTCCGTGTGTCTGTGCATGTATGTGTGTGTGTGCCTGTGCGCGCAGCCCCGAAAGGTCACTGTCCAGGAAAGGTGTCAGCAGCCAAGAAATGGGCTTGGAATGGAAAGTGTGAGCCAGGTTGAACCGCAGGGGTGGCCAGAAATGTCCCACTCCAGCCCCTCCGTGGTCACCATTTCCATCTGTGCCGTGGCCACGGGAGGAGCAGGTCCGGCCACACCAGGTCACCCCCAGGTGCCTCTCGCGGGGGATTTGGGCAGGGCAGGGGGGCCAAGGGGTGCCTGGAGGAGCTGTGTGGGCGAGGGGTGCTTGGCTCCGGGGGGGGCAAGGGGAAGGGGAGAAAGCAGCCGGCGGAAGGGAAGAGTTCAGCCTTTGTCCATGCGCTGTGTCCGGTTTGCTGGTGGCACAATGTCCCCATTCACCCGCCGCCCGCACTCTTCACTGCTTCTCTCTGCTCTCTTGCAGGGTTGTGGAGGCCAGCACCCTTCAGCAGGAGAGGCTGCAGGCCATTGCGGTGAGTCCCTTGTGCGCTGCGAGCGCACGACGAGCGTACTGGACCTTGAGCTAGCATCCCCACCTCCCCGCGCCATCGCTTGCAGCACGTGGGGCAGATGCTAGCGGGGAGGAGAGTGCCGGCGCAGTGGCTGTGCCAGCGCTGGGGCTGTGCAGCCACTTTCCCAGCTGCTGCCTCTGGCCTGGAAAGCTGCTCCAGGGCTGCAGGCAGGGGCAAGAGCCAGAGAGCCTGCGTGGGTGCCCCCCGGGCAGGGGGTCTCTAGCAGCCAAACACAGACTCGCGGGAGCCCGTGCCAGGGCATCCTGCCCTGCGGTGGCTCTTCCCAGGGACAGGCTACAGTCGGGGTGCAGGATCCGGCAGGGCTTGGCTGCATTGCTGAAACAAGGACAGAGCGAGCAATGGGCAGCCGGGAGGTTTAATTAATGAAGCAGCGCCTTGATGAGCCCTGAGTGAGAGGGAAATGAGTGATGATTCCCCCCTCATCCTTTCCCAGGGAAGGGCTGAGGATGGTGCACGATCCAGCCCTGCCTGCTATGGGCCCTAGTAATTATATTAATTAGCGAGCAGTCAGGGGCCGCGCTGGGCAGCCCCTCCCCGGCACAGAGCAGGGCAGTAGGTTGATTTTAAACCCCATCGCTGCCCCATAGCAGCTCCCCTGCCCGCTGTGGGCTGCCAGCTTCCCTGGCCCGGCCCGCTGCTGGCCGATCTCCGCTACACAAAGGGCAAATTGTTCTGGGCCAGAGGAAAAAGAAAGCGGGTGACGCTTCCCGGGCTGGGACTGACTCTGCTGAAATGATCTGGACCGGCCCCAGGATGTGCAGCGAGGGGGGGGCGGGGGAGAGGCCGTGGGGGCTGGTTCCCCCCCCCGCGCTGGCAGCTCGCTCAGTGGGGCCGGGCGAGGGGAAGGTGACGTTTTGAGACGGTGAACAGGCTCCAGGCTCTGCCCTGATTTCTCTGCACCCTCCGTGCCTCAGTTTCCCCCGGTGAAGGCAGGGTCATGACGCAGGGCTGGGGAGTTCCCGGTGGGCTGTCCCCAAGGCCAGTCTTGCAGCCCCAGGCATGGCTTGTGTCCCCATGTCAGACCCCCCGGGAGCCCCTCGCCCGCTGCTCCTCCCTGTTCTAGGGATGCTGCCCCGGCCGGGAGGGAGGTGCCCTCTCCCCATGCCGACCCCAGCTCTGCCGCTCTCGTCCCTCCAGGAGAAGCGGAAACGTCAGACGGAGATTGAGAACAAAAGGCGGCAGCTCGAGGATGACAGGCGGCAGCTGCAGCATCTCAAGGTGAGGATCCCGCGAGACCCCCCGGGCTGCCTCTGTGCCGGGGATGTGCCGGGACCCCCCCCGCTGTGGGGGTGGCAGGACTGTGACCCCCCTCTGCTCCCCAGTCCAAGGCTCTGCGGGAGAGATGGCTGCTGGAGGGGGCCCCAGCCTCAGCCTCTGAGGAGGACGAGGCCATGAAGAAGCAGATGCAGGAGGATGAGGTGAAGACCAAGGAGCTGGAGGAAGCCATCCAGAGGTAACGGGGATGGTGTGGGGCCGGGGTGTGCTTGCAGGGTGCCCGAGTCTTTCCAGAGACCCCCCCCGAGAAGACGGGAGGCCGAGATGCCGCTCAGTCCCGCGTGCTGGGCACGAGGCACGTGGCACAAGACACGCTGCTGTGTGGCCACCCTCGCTCGAGTTCAGCCGGGGCCCCGCTCAGAGGAGAGCATCCGCTCCGGAGCTCAGAGCTGCCGGGAGTGGAGGTGCCTCTGTGGCGCTGCCAGGGCTCAGCCGTTCTTGCCGGCATTTGTCCATGGGCTGCAGCTGGTCCCAGAGCCCATCCAGCCCCGCGGCCCCTCTGAGCACGGACACCCCCAGCTCTGCTCTGCCCGGGGCTGCGGCAGCCACAAGCTGTGTAGGGCATCGGTGGGAGCCACGGGGCTAGGGACCAGGGCTGGGCTGGGGGCTGGACCCCCCCCAGGGGGACTGTTCAGTGCCCAGCACCCCTGATTGCAGGGGCAGGGAAACACAGGGCTGGTTCCCCATGGGTGTCCGTCCCCATTGCGGTGGCTCAGCCCCTGGGAAAGGGGCAGGGTGGGAGGTGAGGGAGGAGAAGCCTCAGCCCCCGCCCAGCCCCCTCCTGCCTGGGCTGCCAAAGGCAGGGCGGGGGGGCCGGGACCCCCGGCACGGAGGTGTCCCAGCAGCCCAGCTGGCCTTCAAGAATGCAATCAGTCATGGCTGTGCCATTAATTACCAAGCATCGGTGCAGAGAAGGGTCAGGCACGAAGGGGCCTTTGTGTCCGTCTAATGGCGCGGTGCATTCCTCCACCGGCGCCTCGTGGGGAGATGGGAGTTAAGGGGGGGCTGTGCCGGGGGGGGCTGCCACCGCACTGACAGAGGGGCCCTAATTTACATGGAGATGAATCCGTGGGGACTCCCCAAACCTCCTCCGTGTCCCGGTGGGGCCCTGCTGCCAGCACAGCTCTTGGCCAGGCTCGCTGGCTGGGAGCGGGCGGTTGTCCTTGTGGGAAGCTCAAACAGGCTTTGGGCGACACACGTGAGAGCAGAACGGTGATGGATCGACGTTGCTCCATGCCACCAAAGCAAGGGCACTGGCAAGTGCGTGGTGGGCTCGGCTGTCACTGCATGGGGACAGTGAACAACCCTGTGGGGTCAGTCCCCCTGCTCGGTGCCCACAGGGGGGGTTTCTTCCATCCACTTGCGCCAAGCCCATCAGCCGAGCGGCCGCCCCAGTCGCTCAGTGGCTGCGGAGCTGCAAGCGTCCTAAGCATCGGTCGCCCCGTGGAGACGGGTGGAGGTGTGCGGCCGACGGGTACCTGGGTTAAGGACGAGGGCAGCACCCGCTGGTGAAGCCCCTGGGTTTGTTCCAGCAAACACATGCTTTTCCCCTGCAAAGAGCTGGTGACAGCTGTGCCGGAGGTTGGTTTGTCTGTCCCTGTGCCATGTTGCTGGCCCGCATTCACAGGTCTGCTGCGGCTGCCTGCACCACGGCTCCCCATGGCCTCTCAGCCCTGACTCTCTCTGCAGGCTGGAGAAGGAGCTGGAGACACTGGAGAACGGCAGCTCGGCGGCTTCCACCAAGGAGAACCTGGCGGCGGTGGCATCGCCAGCCAAGGAGGAGAAGGCAGAGGCCGTCCCCAACATGCAGAAGGTGGGCACAGCTGCTCTCTGCAGGCAGGGCTGCCTGCTGCGGGAGGGGTGGACGGGGAGAGGGGTTGCCTCAGGGTTCGGCGCTTGCTCAGCCCCCACCAGACCAGAGCTGGTTCTTGCTGCCAGCATGGAGCAGGGAGCTGCCGGGGTGACGGCACGGCGGCGGGCAGGTTGCACTGGCGGAGGGGCCAAGCGCGGGGAACCGCTGCCGATCAGCTGCAGGGTTGCACCGGCGTGCTGGCGCGGCTGCGGTGGGCCCCGGTCCCAGCCAAGCTGGGTGGATTGGCCACCCCACATGTCCCTGTCGCCCTTGGAGCCCCTGCCCTGCCGATCCTGTGCCAGCAGGGACGGGGGTCCCTTGCCCCAGTGGGGATGGGTGCGTGGGTGGTGGGTGTGCGGGCAGCGGGTGTGCAGCAGCTCCTAACCTCTCCCTTCTGTTTTGCAGAGTCCCCTGGGCACAGTCAAGGGTAGGTGATCCCTGCCTCGGCCGCGGTTCCTGCTCTCGGGAGGCAGCACCCGCTGCCCCCTCGTGCTGCCCCGGCGCTGGGTCCGGATGGGTGGGGGGAGCTGGGGCAGCCCCATCCCCATGTCCCATGTCCCTGTCTCATCCTGGGCAGCGGTGCCCTGCAGCAGCAGAGCCCAAACCAGGTGCCAGCCATGGGGAGACACGTCGCCCTCCCTGGGGCCCATCCCACGGGCGCCTGGACGACCAGGTGACTATTTTGGCTCAGGTGGTCGCCTCTCCTCTCTGTCCCCAGCCGAGAAGAAGGTCTCCAGCAGCCCCATGAAGGCGGTGGAAGGCACTGACATGATGAAGGCAGGTAGGTGCCCGCTTCCCCGGGAGGAGTGCTCCTTCCTGGTCGCTTCCCCCTCCCCTTCCACGCCGCCCCTCGGCTCGCTGCCCACCTCGCAGCCCTGCCACCGCTGCTCCCCACCGCTCGATGGCTTTCCAAGCCCAAGGCAGAGAACATCAGTTATTTGCAATCAGAGGGTTTGTTTTTGCTTCCACCCCGCGGCTGGTTCGTGGTTCAGGGCCCCCCCCTCCCGCCCCGTTCCATGTCTCTGCTCCGGTTTCATCCTTCACCTCCCGCTCTGTTTGTGGCTTCTCAGAGCGTGGGCACGGGAGAGGAACGTCGGCTGCTGGCATGGCTGACCCCGTGCCAGTGCTCACAGCACCGTGGCTGGCTGCCGGTGGGGAGCTTGCAGGGGTGTGCCGGGCTGAGCTGCCCACGCTGTGGGGGCTGTGGCCAGCTCTGCTGCTGGAGGGGTTTGCTCTGATTTGGGGGGATGGCTCAGACCGGGCTGCGGCACCGGTGCTGGGCAGACCCCGTCTTGGGGTCCTCAGAGCAAAGTGTCGCTGGGACGAGGCAACCCCGGTGCCAGCAGGGACTGGCCGGCAGCCGAAGGAGAGGTGCCAAGGATCGCCCGTCCCACGGGAGCAGAGGGGCTGTCCCAGGGCCAGCACCCTCAACGGGGGATGCCACCTCCCACAAGCATGAGCCTGGCTCCCAGCCCATGCCCCGCGGCTGGCACCGCTCACCGGCCGGACAGACGGACGCGGCACCCCCTGCCCCGGTGCCTCCAGCGCCTGGCTGGGCCCCAACCCCGGGGGACACAGAAGCCGTGGAGGTAAGGCGACGCCGGCAGCGCCAGGACGGCGACGGCCCCGCGGGTCCTGGTAGGAGGGCTGTGCCCAGGATGTCGCGCCCGCCTCTGCTGTTCACTCCTCCTCGCTGCCGCCTGCTGCCTTGCTAATGCCGCTGAGCACCGCGCCGCACTGCACCGCACCGCACCGCTGCCGCCATGTGCCTGCCCGCTGCTGGCCGCTGAGCAGGGGCTAGGGAGGGCCGGGGCCACCGTAATGTGCGCTGTCCTCTTTGTGTCCCAGCCATGTACTCAGTGGAGATCACGGTGGAGAAGGACAGAGTGACTGGGGAGACCAAGGTCCTGTCCAGCACCACCATGCTCCCCCAGAACCACTGTCTGCAGGGGGTCAAAGTGTACGAGGATGAGCTGAAAGGTACGGCCCGTCCCACACCGCTCAGAGGCACCAGGAGCAAAGGGCAGGGGACAAGGGAGCAGACACCCGAGCATCCCGGCAGGCGCCGGGGCTAGGAAGGGCTGGGGCCGCTCCCAGCCATCCTCGCCAGCTCTGTAGGGGAGATGGCTCTGGGCAACCCCTCGCTGGCCCCAATCCTGCGCCTTGGCCAGCCCAGCGTGGGATCTGTCCCCGCGGCATGGTGTAGACAGTCCTGATGGGCCGGCCCTGGTTTGCACATCATGGTGACCCTGCGCTGCTGGAGAGCAGAGAAGAGGATGTGCCGTGTCCAAGACTCGGGAACCCATCCCGCAGGCAAGGAACATGGCACCAGCACCATGTCGGCCCGACGTGCCCAGGCTGGCAGAGGAGAGTGTGGCCCCTCGGTGCAGAGAAGGCACAGCAATATGGACCGGTCTCTGCCTGTGGCCCCTGCTTTTGGGAACCTCCGGCAACCTGCTTCGAAGGGCCTGGTGACACCCAAGGGGTGGTTGTCGGTGGCAAGGACCAGCCACAGAGCTGGAGCACATTACTGGGGACTGCGGTGGCCAAGTGGACCGACCGCCTCTCCAAGGAAGCTGCGCTGCACCGGCAGCCGGTCCTGTTCAACACCCTCCCTGTGGCCGTGGCCGTGCTGGGCCACGCTGCCCTTCACCTCCACCAGCCACTTGGCTCAGCCCCCCGGCTGCTCTGGGACCCTCAGCTCCAGGGATGGGCCGAGGAGCCGCCTCGGCAGCGGTCGGCCTGGGGCAGCCGTGCGTTGGTCCCGGCTGAGCCAGCCCTGCCTGGGCCAGTTGTCGTCCATCACTCCATCAACTGGCTGTTGAGGCTGTTGCACTGATCATCGCATGATGCCCCAGGTCAAGTGGAAAATGCGATGAGCCGGAGGCTGCTCTCGCCGTGATGCACGTCTGTTGCCTCCAGCGCTGCAAGCAGCCATGCAAAGCGCACCGGTGGCAGAGGAGCCCTGTCCTCTCCTGGGCACCGGGTGCCACAGGCAGCGGAACGCGGCAGGATGCATCAGGACGTGGTGGGACGTGGTGGGGCGGCACCTGCCGAGCCCTCGCTGGGGTCTTACAGGTGGCAGCG